ACCCCATATGTGCTGCATATTCAAGATCTGTGAAAAACTGTGTCCTAGACAAGAATATGACAAAGTTGCTGCCTTTTCCTTTTTAACACCTGTTAATCTGATGCAGTTCTTGTTGGGGTGTGGGACAGTGGATGAATAGTATTTTTCTTACTTTTTTGATCATAATAAGCTTGGTACCTCAAGCTCATTTATTAATTTTAAACCATCTGCAGTACTTGTGGATTTGTCCAAATTCTTTGCTTTTTCTCAGAGGATACTTGTTTGTTTTATTAATTTATTTCTCTGGAAAAAGTGATTTTTTTTTTTGTTATTTTTGTTACACTGTAATGAATGGCATAGCAGCTGAGAAACATTGCAAGTTGAGATTTCATCTTATTGTGCGGACAAGATTAAAGGAAAGTGAATTCATTTTGCTCTGTGCAGAGCTTGTAGATCCTCCTAAGCAGTTCCTAGCTTGTATCCTTATTTTTACCAGCTCTTAGGGCCAGAACTCCAAAGGATGTGCTAAAAGCATCAGTGGACAGCAAATTGGAGTTCTACAGTTAAGCTGAGATGGCATACTAAAAAATGAGAAATGCCACTCTTGTCATAATAATTTGAGCTATCAGTGCCACGAGAATATTTTCAGTCAGCCAAAATTCACTGGCACAGGGCCATATAGAGACAGGTTTTATGCTATAAATTTTAGGATTTGACTTTAGTTGTTTTGAGTTGAATGCCATTGCCTATGTCATATTTTAATGTCAAAGCTGCCTTATTGAAAACTGCTTCTTCCTAAAACATGTTCATAAACGCTGTTTTCCTATTTTGTGTAAGTATTTTGGAGCAGTAAGTCCTCCTTGCTGTGTTGGATGATCATATGTAATCATTCCTATGCTGCAGTCATTTAACCTCAAGATTCTTAGCATGTGCATTCAGGCTAAATATTGGTCTTTTGTCATTTTGAATACTGTGTTCTGTATCTTTCTAGTTCTAGTATTTTAAATCCTAGCTGAAATATTTTCTTGTTGTTTGTGCATCTGCCACACACTTTTTGACTTCAGTGTTTCAAGCTGTTGGGGAGACCCACCCAGTTCTGAGAAAAGGTAGTTGAGAATTAAAGCCTGAATCCTGATGTTACAAAAAGTCTTGTCTTCTTTCTGTCTAAAACAGCACAGCTAAGAGCTCTGATAACATAGTACCCCAGATCCCATGTTAAACAAATTACTTGACTCTTGAGGCTGTGTTTAATTGTGGTCAGTGGTGTCAGGTTTTTCTTGGTGTGGTCTGAGAGCATCAGCCTCTGTTAGCCCCTCTGGCTTGCTGCTGGCAGATGACTTAATGGTTGTGTGGAGCCTAACAAAATGAGTGCCTGTGCACCAGTTACCTCGAAAATAAGTAAAATGAAAGCATCAGACTGACTCTTGTTGGGTCTGAGGACTTTTTAGACCACTGTATTCTATGCTGGCAGTTGTTTCTGCTTGCATGTGCTTCCTGGAATGCTAGGAGCACTGGAATGGCTAAAAGATGCATTTGCTTTGCCCTCAAAAATGAATAGCTGGCTCATTTAGTGAGAGATAGAGGCTTTGTAGTGTGTCATCGGGAAGTTGAATTCATGTTTCTACTACTCTGACCTATTTTCACAGTTGAAATACATCCTAGTTTTGTTTCTGAGAGGTTAGGTCAAAATTGATGTGTTCTGTGTGAACAGACAGCTCGAGCACTTGGGCTGTGGGCAGAGGTGTGGATTTTGGTAACTTGGCCAGCTGGGTAGTCAGCACACAGGGAGCTCAGTGTTGCCTGCCTCCATCTCTTGTTGATTCAGGAGACTTGCATCGTGTCAGGTTATGAAACACTTGAATCTGTACCCATATAGTGAGAGAGAGGTAATGCCTTCACAGACTGAAGGAATGGAAATGGGCACTAATGGGAAGGGTAGGATTTACTGCCTTAGGTGGGGGGGGGTGGGGGGGGGAACGACACACACATCAAAAACCCTAACTGCAGACTATAAAGTCCTGGAAAACTTGTGGGAGGAGCTCTCCTGGCTTTCCTAAAAGGTGCCTTCCACAGGGACCTGTCTTTGACACCCCAACCCTCTGTTTGATCTTATTTTCCTGAAGTTATCAGAGTTCTCTCAAATCCCTGAAGATGAAGGGCCTAAAATGGAAGCTGTATGAGAAGTGGGTGAGGTCACTTGGTCTGTCCAGCTTGCAGAAGAGAAGACCTCATAGAGACCTACAGCTTCCTCAGGAAGGGGGGAGTGGGAGGGACTGGCACTAGTCTCTTCTCTCTGACCAGTGACAGGGCCTGAGGAACACCATAAGGCCATGTCAAGGGGGGCTTAGGCTGGGTGTTAAGAAAAGCTTCCTCAGGCAGAGAATGCCTGGGCACTGGAACAGTCTCCCCACGGAAGTGGTTGCAACACCAAGACTGCCAGAGTTTGGGCAATGCCCTCCAGCACATGATGTGATTCTTGGTGTTGCTAGGGCATGGCCAGGAGTTGGACACAGTGATCCTTGTGAGTCCCTTCCAACTCAGGATTTTTTGTGATCATTCTGTGATTCTAAGTATAAAGCAGCAGTGAAAGTTCTGCTGGGAAGAATAAATAATTTCCCATTTTTACTTCTGCCATAAGGAGCAGTAGTGGGTATTTGAGCAAGACTTCATTCTGCTACTCAGTTACTGGAAAAGGAGAAGATAATTTATCTTGACCTCTTGAGTGGCACCTGTCTGCAAGCTCTTGAAGCCAGTAAGAGAAAAAAAGAAAGTTAAAGTTGGGTTGAGGAAAAAAAAACCCCACGAACTACACTGGACTATGTACAACTGATGTGTGTGTATGTGGATTTGTAGTATGGGACTTCTTTACTTCCATCTAATGGGGGGGAGGAGGGGAAGAAGACATCTTGTTCTGGAATAAGGGTTCTCCATTTATAGGTTATTAGGGCATGTATGGCTTCCTGGATGAGATCAGTCTATTTTCAGTTGCATTCTTTCTCTTTTTCTTAGGATTATTTGACCCAGACTGCTCTTGAAAGAAAATAATTAGGCTATTGGCAAAGCTTTGATAAGGGCTGAAAAATTTGGAACGGCTAAAGTCAAGAAACTGTTATGCTTTCTGTAGCTTGCTGAGGAGGCACCTGTTGTGCTGCAAGGTCAGGTAAAAATTTTGGTAACACAATATTTGACCTAGACAAGGAGAACGTTGGCTGCTGCTAAGCCTACACACAAACTCCTAGTGTATTTTATTGTTACTGAGTTGGCTTCATTTCCCTTAGAGACATTTGTGGTATGTTTAAACAGTATGAATATAAGCAGAAATTAATATTTCTTCCAGCTAAGTTCTAAAGAGCTGCTAGTAGTAAATAGGGGAGGAAGTACCTTTTAATGTGTTGAATGAAAATAGCAGTGTGCAGAATTAGTGTATAGGTTTTTAGAATTGCTAGAAAGTTCTTAGAAGTAGCTTAGTCTTGAATGTCATTCATAGCTATAAAAATGTATCATAATTAATACCATCCATAGATCAGTTTTAGGTAGGGGTGCATTCTTCCTCAGGCTATATAAAAAGGGTTTAATTAGACCAAAGTTTATATTCTTTTTTTTATCTATATAAAGAGTACCACAGGAGATTATTTATGTTGGGTCTGCTAGAAATCACTACTTTGTTGTCCTTTGCGGCCTGTCCTAGATAGCAAGTACAAGATATTTCTGAGGTAGGTTTCCTCTTGTGGGTTGTTTTTTTTTTCAAGATTTCATTTTGTTTCTTCTTTGGCAGAGCTTGGTGTGTAATTTGGATTGTGATTTCCCTGTCCTCTATATCTTGGTAGTTTTGGCTATCCATGTAGAAATTTGGGAGGGGGTGTAGGAAAGTTGTGCTGATACTTGTCTAGTCTGCTCCAGTTCGGAGTCATGGTACTAATTAAATCTAATAGTGCACTAACGATGTTGTTGGTTTATAGCATGTTTCCTTAGTACTTCACATGAGGCTTAAGTGGATTACAGTAAATATTCTGTTCTCAATGTAGCCATGCTAAAATATTTTAAAAAAATACATTTTATAAGATTTCTTGCTTCTATTCAATTTTGCTTTAAATATTTATGGTAAAAAATTTGAACGTATCAAAATGGAAGTATAACTAATTCCATTGTAGCATGAAAACTTAACGTCTCGTTCACACAAGTATTTTGGGCTCCTTAAGAGCAGTTGTTTGATTGTTGAAAGTCGAGGCCATGTGGTGATGGAGATTCATTTTAAAAAATCTCTGTATGTGTAGATGCAGATACTAAAATTCACTTTTCTAGAGATGTATGTGCTTTCTGTTGAACCATATAACTATACAGGTGCATTGTGATTATCATAACTATCAAGCCAGTTATTATAAAATAATATAGTATACATTAGTTATAGATGGTTGCTTGCTCGGCCTGTGAATCAGGTCATGAAAATACAGTGCTCCAATAAAAACAGTTTTTCATTTGTATAATTTATGTAGAAGCTTTAGTGTTTGTTTACTAGCTCTGTGTGTTTGCTACAGACAGGATAATTATGAATTTAATACCAATGCTCTTTATTTTATAAAAAAACTTTAAATACTCTGTACTTATCAAACAGCAGCAAAATATCTTCAGTGATTTGATCAAACATGCAGGAACTCTAGATCATCTCCCCCCAGATGAAAGCAGACTGGATATGATACAAAATCAAACACAGCAATTCCAGAAATGTTTCTTGCCTGATGGGGTCAATGTCCTACTTAGTAATCGCTTCTGTACTGGACATCAGCAAGTACTTCTGCAGTTAGTTGGTTTCCAGTTATCAGTTGTTTGTATTGGTCAAATTCTTAAAGCACTGCAGAGGAATGAAGTCCCTATTTTAGCAGCTGGTGTCTGTTGGAATCAGCAGGAGTAAGCTGTGTAACTGGTGGATTAGATGTCTGCCCACGGGGCTCTAGTCAGCAGCCTGTGACAGTACTGAGAGAGGAAAATGAATTTAACACACGCATTGCCTCAATTTTTTTCAGATGCTGGCCAGAAGAAGACCCCAGACAAGAAAGATGGGCGACGAATGTCTTTTCAAAAACCTAGAGGGACTCTTGAATATTCAGTAAGTTACTGCTTTATTGTTAGAATGTTACTGCGAAGCTAATGCAGGCTAAAAAGTTGCATTACAAAATGTAAGCAAAACTGTATTGCCTTTAATGTTAGAATTCTGTGTATCTGATAGTTTAGTTTGACAGAAATTAAAGCAGGGAATTAGCTGCTAGTATTAATACTGTTTTTTCCCTTTAAGTGGCATTTTTTTTCCTTAGAGATTCCGAGCTAATCAAACTGTTGACTGGTTCACTTTTAGGTAACTAGTTAGAAACAAATAACAATAGTTATATAATGATGTGCAAGTTCTCTGCTTTCAGCATTATTAATAAACTGTTGCTGTCAGGGAAAATAACAGAATGAAGTTGGGAAGGGAAACTGTATCTTGATACTGACTTTCTGGTATTCTCATAATAATTGCTGTAGATCTGTGCCTTTTACTGTATAACTCAGTTTCTGCATCAGTATCTGAAAATGGAGCCTTTCTCTCCCTGTTCTGTTCTTGAAATGACCCTCAAACTGTGCTGCAGTCAGCTTTCCCATTTGTGGTTACTAAGGGAAACAGAAGTGAGAAGTATGTGTCTTATGTTATGTACTGGAAATACAATTAAGCCTATAAATAATGCTTATAGAGTTGATGTTAAAATAGGGACAGTCTGCCACAGTGATCTTTGAATGCTTTTGAAGCTGGACATGATAAATAAAAATGACAACTGCTTTATGAAAAGTCTTTACTGGACCTCTTGGTCAGGAATAAGAGATATGGGGAAGACTTAACTCTGTTACATTAAGCCAAGCTATGATAATTGCTTAAGTACTGAGAGGGCTGTGATAGTCTTTTGGTTAGAGAGAGAGTATGTGTGTAGTGGAGCAAGAAGCACTTCGTTAGTGTGGCTTTTATTGGAATTTGAATATCATTTTAGCCTGCTCTAAAGACTTCCTTGAAGCTGAAATTCAAACCAGAAATTCCTGCTGCTTAGGTTCTAGTGGTTGAAGAATGGCAATGTAAATGTGACTGTTGTTGATGTTATATTGACTCCATTTGGTCTGAGATACCTGGGAAAAACAGTTAGGTGTAGCTCTGCGTTACTGGCATCCATACTCAGTAAATCCAGTAATTTGCCTCTTGCCACCATGTGAGTGCTTTTGCTTTGGTATGTAACATTCCAGGCAAAGTAAAAGCAAGGAGCTTTGCTTTTTTTAACTTGGCATGTGTTTGTGGCAAGTTGTCATGTACTTCTGCAGGTTTTTGTGTTCCAGTAGGTGGAGTTTTAGATCCAAAAATAGCTTTCTTAATATGTACTGAAGTATGCATCACTTCCTTGTGAGTCAAAAAAAGATGATTCACAGGAATCACAGGCTTTTTGTCATTAAACTTAGTCCACCTTCTAAAGGAGCCTGTTGCATGTATGGAACATGGTGCATTTCAGCTTCACAAATACTGTATTCTGTCAGGTCTTGCTGTGCATTTCACTCATAAAGCTCATGAAACACTTGAGTAGCATCATGTTTCGTTAATATTGTGTGCATATATTTAATAAAATGCACGGATATAATCTTTAGGAACTGAGCTTATGCTCACTGTAAGAGAGGTCTGGTAGCTATTGTGGTAATTTGCTACTGTTATGTATTACTTTATTATATGTGTAGAAGTGCTCTTGTCTTGTTTCTGACTTCATCCTACTTCCTATCACAGTGACAACACATGTGCACACACATGTATTTATATACCTGCATGTGTTGCTTCTTTGAGAAGTAGTAGAGGGTGAAGGCAGAAACCAGACTCCCCCTCACCTTCCAGCATTGTTGAAGTTAGTGGGATTTTTTTTGTCTTTTTTAAGATGATAATTTAATATGTTCATTTTTTCCAGTGGATACATGGTTTTAGGAGTGAAAGTCTTATTTGTATTCATGAAGTTTGGAGTGAGTTAGCATCTCACTTGTGCAAACTATGGAGTTTTAATATGAAGTAAACTTCACACCAGAATTTTTTTAGAAAAAAAAATTACTATGGGACAAGTAAACAATAAAACAAATTTTCTCTTTAAAGCTAAAGACAGAATGCAGTTGATGTTTTTTATCTAAAATTCTCAAGGCATGAAAACTTGAACGTGCTGTTCTGTGTGTAGCAGGAGAGAGATGATGTCAACAAACATGGTACTAAATAATGGAAGTAAGTCCTGAACTGCCTCTAAAGGATACAGAAAAAACTGGTTCATTTTTGCTGATACTGCTTAGACAGTGAACAGATATCTTTTAATAGAGTTTATCCTTTTCTCAGTATGAGTCAGCATATTCGATGCAAGTTGATACTGTCTGTTATTTCAGAATTCACAGTTGCTGCTCAAGCCGTGTGTTTTCCCCTTCAGCCTTTTGTGTTCCATGTCGCACAAACACAACTGGTGCCTGCCTGTAGGTGTCGGAAGGGCCAACTATGGGTGAATAATGGAGCATGGGCAGAGTGCTGCTTACTGATCACCAGTGATTGTACCATGCTAGCTTGTGTCTTGAAGTCTTGTGACTTCAGTGGAAGCCTTCTAACTGCTCTTCCTTTTGAGGAGAAGAAAGAAATAATTGTGGTTATTTACAGATAGGTTTAAATTTTGTTTAGAGAAATGTTTGTGAGTAGTTGAAATGGATGATCTGGTTTATGAGTGTTGGAGGGTCTAATCTAAGATTTTCCTTTATCTCTCTGGGGATTGAAGGCTGTGCTCTCCTGAAGTACTGAGTAAGTACTTAATACACAGATGATGTTGTCCAGGTTAAGGAAAGAGCCCAGTATCAATTCCTGAATGTCACAGAAGCCTTTAGTAGACCATAGCCTCAAGACTGAGTTTTCAGCTTGTGTATAGTGAGTGCTAAGGGTTCTCTTCCGGTGCCACTAGTTCTATTGCCATTGCAAGCCTTTACATGCTGTTTAGGAAGCTACACAATTAGGAGTTTTGGTGATTTTTTTTTTGTTTGTTTTAATTTCTTGGCTCTTCTATTTCAAACCCAAGGTGCATGTTCTTTTACGGCTGCTGCTTTTCTTTGAGCATGCCATTGTCATAATCTTTTAACCTGCTTTGGGGATATTGGAAATGTAGATCATAATGATGATGTTACTTCATCTCTGTCTTTCACTAATTATTTTTGAAGTTGGCTTTATGGTGTTTACAGGGTTTATTTTACTGATGTTGCATATTACATAAGTTAGGCCTGTTAACAATTAGTTAATATAGTCATAATTGGTATTTCTAAAGGCTTGGGTACAGTGCCAAAGCTGTGTTATTTGTTCCCTTTTGTTCTCACCCTTTCTTTTTAGTCTTCCTATCTAATTTTTTTAGTTTAAGAGCATTAAAATAAACTGTGTTTGATTTTCTGGCTCTTGGACATCTAGTGTTGAAACAAAAAAATAATTATTTCTGCACTCTGATTCATATGTATTTGATATTTAATTTTTAATGGAGGAATGAGTGAATTCTGACTGTTAAGATGCAATTACAGTAAAGTTCATTAAAATACCAGTAGAATAAAATTTTTAATAACTTTGCCAGCTGTTGATCTGAGGGAAACAAAGGTAGGTAGAATCAGAGATAGTGGTGGCTGAAGTTCTCTGTCTGCTGTTGCCAGGTGCATAAGTGCACCTGGGAAACATGGGTGCATTCTCAATGAAGATTTAATATTCAAATATTTATAAAAAATTTTTAAAATTCAGAAGAGCATTTAAGTAACTACCTCAATATATAGGAAGTTTATTTTCTGAGAGAGAAGGAATAACTTCTTGCCTTTTCTTATAGCAGTGAATTGATAGGGGAAAAGCTGGGAATCCGTGGTAAGTGGCTGCACTATTCAAATCTTGTTAGTTCTGTGCTTTCCTACAAAATTATTCTTTGAGGTTTTGGCTGTTCAGATTCTACTTTTTAGTATAGTAGAGGGCCTGAGAACTGGAAAATAGGCTTTGGAATCTAGGAAGATACTTCAGGAATCCTCTATTATGTGAGCAGTGTCATTGTTTTGAGAAGGTATCTCTATTGGTCCCTGAAGTCCCATGTAGTGTGGAAATTTGTGTGCAAACTTGACAGCCAAACAAAAAGGAAGATTATACTTGCCAGTGTGTTTATCATGAGTGAGATAAACCCTTTAGTTGCCAAGCTATTTCACATGAAGTTTTTATTTCAGAAGACTGTAAAGAGTGAATGCACAATAAAAAGGGCTTAAGCTTTGTGGTATGAATGCTTTTGATTTGTTTTATGTCATAAATTAGTTGAAAATCTCAATTTCTTCAATGATTAAGTGATACATAAGAAGGATTTACCTAGCAGCTGACTGTTGCCCTTCAACATTTATGCGAGTGCAAACTTAGGCAAAACTTTTGAATTTCACTTCACAGTTTGTTTCAGCAAACTTTCTGTATCATGTGGAGCTTCTGAGGGAAACCTTACTGATTTGGTGGTTAGTTTTCTTATGGTCTGTGAAGTATGTAGTACATATCTGGTTGTGTTACAGTCCTGTTCTGATTTCTGCTGCAGTACCAGTTAAACATGGCATATCAAATTTTTTTTTTTTTTTTTAATATATATCTGTGATCATACGGTACTGAATGACTGAGAGCTACTACAATACAGTCTTGCATACTGGAAATACTAGTGTAGAAAGATGTTTGCTGTTTGTTTTGTTTATTAGCTTCTTGTATAAAAAATCTCATAATAGATTTCTAATCCTTTCTTAAAAAAGCCAATTGCCTTTTCTTTGGCAATGCTTATATCGTTTTATTAGTGAATTTAGGTTGAGAAGTGCATCTTTCTGAAATTATATGGAAAAGAATTCTCCAGCTCTACTTACATTTAGCTGGAAATACATCTTAGCTTATATAGCTTCATCTTGTCTTAACTGATAAAATCTATTTTTTCCTGGTGCAGAGTCTATGAAGTCTTGTGCCATTATGCAGTAAACCTTTTGGTTGGTTGTTTCCTTGTATCACCATTATTCCTAAGGCTTTGAATTCTTTATTCTGAAATAGTCTTTCTGTGTAAAACTTTTTTCCTTTTGCTTTCTTGTAGTAGGTAATTTTGACTACACTTTGGGAGATGGAGGTCAGAATCTGACCTTGAAAAAAATACTTTCCTTGGTTGGGAATCACTTTCTCAAAATGTTTATGCTCCATCTGCTGTCATAGTTGTTGACATGCTTTGCTTCAGCATTTTTGCATTTTCTTAGTGACGGATTTTACCTGAAAGTCCGGGTCTGATAGAAGCTTATTTCAGTAGTAAAAGAGTGTGTTTATATTTATAGAGAGAACTCTTCAGCTTTTCTGTAGGTGATAAGTGGAGAAAAGTAGTTGCAGAGGGAGAGGGAATCATTCTGTGAACCCAGTCAATGATGCATTGTCCAGTGGTAACCAGCAGTGCATCTGTAGATCAGAAGTTCTGGTGCAATAGCTGAGCCAACAGCACAAACTGTGTGACTGACACTTCTGGCTACCTGGAAACATAGAGGGAAGGTGTGTGCTTCTACAGGGGGTTGCAGTAGACTAATCTTTAGGGGGTAGGTATGTTTTTTGTGGTGGCATTGTTGTTTTTTTTTGGGGGAGGGGGTGGGCAATCATAAGAAATAAAGATATTAAAGTTCATCAGAATCTTGGTAAATCTACACATGCTAAAATATGTAAGCCATTGTTTGAACTGATTGCTTACAGGTTTGTTTTGTTTGTTTTTCCCCAATTGATACAGGTGGAATCAAGAGATACTTTAAACAGTATTGCCTTGAAATTTGATACAACACCCAATGAACTGGTTCAATTAAATAAGCTTTTCTCCAGAGCAGTCGTTCCTGGACAGGTACTATTACACTATACATCTTACTTATTCCACAAAGTCCTCTTTTACTATATTTCTCATTCCTACCAGAGTGCTGAAGTACTTCTCTTACTGATTTTCTTATTGGCTTTGTAAAAGACTTTTTCCTTTTTCTCCAGTCTGTTCCTTGTGCTTATTAAATAACTGCCTAGAAGGAAACATGTAAGAAAGCCACCTGTGTCCCTTATATAAGATCAGAGGACTTTTAAAACTAGATGTACTTAATGGTACAATAATAACACTTAGATAGAAGCCAGATTGTTGCTTTGCAAATGTAGCAGGCTGTTTATGAACTCTAGCTCAGCAGACACATTCAGGGTAGAGCTTGCAAACAACATTTCGTGACTGTATAGTACTGCCTGCAATTCTGTTTTAATAAATTGAAGAATGTTTATATTCCGCTCTGGAAACCTGATGTTTTTACCAGCAGTATTTGAATTATCATTCACTTATTATAGGTCACTGTTGCATTTTTTTCTCCCTTCCTATTTTTGCCTTCAATTTTCACTTGTCCTTGAAAGCCAGGCCTGAAAACAAGTGATAGGTCAACTGTGATATCAGCCATCAGCCATTTGGTATTTGCCCTTCGTTTGATAAAGTTCTGTGTTCATTTCTGATTGCTGCAGAACTTTCTCTAGGTAAATTGAATGCCTACCATTGCTGAAATAATGTATTTAAAAGTGTGAATACTTGTAGTTGAATTAGTTGAATTTTTTTTTACATATTCACTGAGTCTGTTTCCTTATTGCTGAAATAGTAGAGTCATAGCAAGAGAAATATTTGGACACATCTTCTCTGGACACTCTTATTTCTGTCAAGCTGTATACATTTAATGCTTTCTATCTGAACTTCTTCCTCTGTTATGACTGAAAATCAAAATTATATCAATATAGCATTTGAAACTTGAAATGCTAAAATTTCAAGTGCTTTTTTTAGTATTGTTTTTTCCCTCAACTCATAATTCTTTTAAAAGCAGTGGGAGCAGAAACTGTTTTGTATAGCTTATTTTGAGAAAGCGTAGTAAATATACTTAACTGGTGGGAAATCTAAAGTAAATCTGAAGACATAACTAACTTCTATCTACATTATATCTTCTTTATAGATTTTGTATGTTCCTGACCCAGACTACATATCTAGTGTGGACAGCTCCCCCTCTCTAAGTCCTGTAAGTCCCCTATCACCTACATCTTCCGAAGCAGAGCTTGACAAGGCTGCAGTAAATGTAGGTATACCTATTGTCCTTAAAATTAATTTTTCCTTACAAGATAAATGTTACAGATGCTATGCTTTCTTCTTAAACTGTCCTTTTGTTTTGGGGAGAAAGTATTAGACAGTACTTGGAATTGAAAGTAAAATCGTTCATTTTAAAAGTAAATACAAGCTTTTAATCTTCCTAAATTATAGTTTTCAATGTGAAAACTGATTTGAAGTCAAATTACTTGTAGCCAAATACTGTCATTACACTCGGAAATCTTAATTAGTTACTGTTGCATTTCTGTATTTGTTACATTTCAGAGTTTGTTAAATGTTTGTCTCAAATCTTATGTCTTTTCTGCCAAAACCATCAATATTGGCAGAAATGCTCAGTTTCTCCCTGCTTGCTCTAGAGGTGTCGGAGAGGGCTCTCTAGTTTCATTTCACAAAATGAAGTAAGAAAGGGGGTTTTGGTGAAGGACTAATGCAGAATTATTTAGAGCTGACTTTTACTCGGTAGTTCTGCATTTGCAGACTTTCAAAATGCTAAAAATGTTTAGCCACCTGTGTTGTAGTGTAATTCAGCTCAATTGTAGATTTTTGGGTAGGAGCTGGCTTTGTAGGAAGAAATGTTTATTTCCAGGAACACTGGTTTGCTGTCAGCGGCATTCCATAGGGAACAGTCCAACCGGGAAGATTCAGTATTTAAGCCTGAGCTGCTCTGCAGTTTTTGCAACTATGATCTCATTTGGATGCTTCTCCATACATCAACACTGTTTTTTTCCCAGTTATCTTTTCCTCTCAAATAAGAAATTCTCTCGTTAGCATATTTTGACATTACTCAGTCAAACTGTCAAACATCTGTTCCGGGATTCTGTATGCTCAGAGTTTAGGGAGGTTTGAGACTTAAAGACAAGTTTAAATATAAAGATTTTGCTTTGTTGCTGATGAGGTTCCCAAGCGTTATTGCAAAGTCTATGATGGCCTTTCTACTGAGAAACACTGTTTGCTTTTGCTGTGATATCTTTTCTCTTTCTTAGCGTGCCAGTTCTTATGTCTGTCATTTATGTTGAATAATTTCTCCTATGTTTGATGGCAAACTGAGGGTGGTGTAGCACAGTAAGCAGACTCACCTGCAAGAATACATTCTTGTATCATATATCTTCCAGCTATATCAGTCTCAGAAAGACCTACCCATGTGACACATGTTGTGAGAAGTTACTAGAGGGAAAAATTATCAATTTTACTGTTGGAAATCTGAGCTTTTCCTACAGATTCCATGCCAGAAAAATACTTTATTCTTTCTTTTGTCTATTATTTTGTGTATCTCTTAGCATATAAGATAAGGAGATGTAACCATACCTGTAATTTGTGTGAAAACTTTTTGTTGACTCTATGCTCATATGGGAGATAAAAACTTGCAAGTTTAGAAGAAACAAAGTAAATGAAAATACTTGAAAACCTCTTCTGCAAAATTTTTTTTCATTTAGTGAGGTCAGTCCTGTGCTAGTAACAATGGGAATGTTCAATTTCATTTAGCTGATGCACAAAATAGTTATGTAACAATAAAGTATCTTGTTACATGTCGTGTATCATCACAAGCAATTCTTAAGTGCTTCAGAGAAGGTCAGATTAGCAATGAGACAATATATAATTATTTTGGTTCTGAGGCCTTTCAAAGTACTAAGGAAAGAAGAAATATTGTCAAAAAATCAAGGAACAGAAATCACTTGTACTTGTCAGCGTGAACTGTGTGTGTTTGGTTTTGCTTTCAGTCTTCTCTAACAACTCAAAAGGCACTCAACTTCTGTGTGGGCAGTTAAGGCTGGAGGGTTTTGTTCTTTATCATAGCACCTGTCTTTCATGGTTTTCTTTTCTCTTGTTCCTGATTGCTGTCATCATGAAGGAGAAACATACTAGTGTACATTTCAATGCTCTCTTGATTTGTCTTCTTTGACTGTCCCCCACTTTTGACTCCAGATTTGTGGTTTAAATTTGAGCATGTTTCAATGTAAAGATGTGTTCCTTTGCTTATATAATGTAGTAGAGTCTTCTCTCTGCTCTGGTCAATAGAATCAGTGATTTCTTGTTACAAATTTAATAAGAAGGCTAACAAATATCTGAATGCCTGTTCAGTTGAAAATAAACTGACATGTTCTATTCTTGTTATTTTGTTTTATTGAAAATTGGAGTAGCTTACCACAGCTGTGTGGCTAGATACAAACCAGCATGTGGCTGATAAAAGACCTGCATAACTTTTTGTTAAAGCTTGGGGGTTTTTGGTAGGATTTTTTGTTGGTTTATTTTTTCTTTTGTTTTAATTTTGTTACACCTAAGATTTCATTGTGTATTTCAATAATTTTGTTGCTGTCGGTAAGACTATGTAAGAACTAGCTTGGATTTTGAAGCTTTTCTGGTGCTGCTGGGTTTTTGAAAGACTTCCTGATTCAGCAGTCTTAGACACATATTTGAGAAGATCCTATATGCTTTGCTACCTATAAAGCTTAAATTCCACTTCAAAATAATATGTAGTGACAAGGGCATCATCATTAAATTGGAAAGTCTACCATTGTAGTGGTGCATCCCTCTTCTCCTTTTCCCAGGTCATACTGGGATCTGAGATTGTGTCATGTGGCAATATGATGAGAAGTAGCTGGCTTATGAGTGGGCTTGGATATCAGCTGAGCACTTCCAGAGTCACTTGCTGAGATATGTCACAAGAGCGACCCTGTAGTTTTCAGTAGAAAGGCATATGTAGAAGGAGAATTAGTCTCCAGAAGGTTTGTTTCCTTATTATACCTTGATTAGCTTTTTCAGCAAAAGTCAGTTTAGTGTTCTGTGTATTTTTTTGGTTTTTTGGTTGATTTGTAATGAAGGTTGAAAGATGCTGGCAAATGCTAAAGTAGTGCCAGAGAAATGATGAAGTGAAAACAGTTGTGCGTAATGTTCCTAAGTATGATTAAAGGCATTTATCTGCAATCTGTGAATAGAACTGAACAGGAAAGCAGAAAACCAAAGGGAACATGGGAGTTCCTGTTTTTTAAAAACAGTAATATTTTATTAGTAACTAAAAATAGCAATTGTGCATGAAATTGAAGTCTTTAGATGTGGATAAAGCACCAGACAGGGTTTCTGTGTCTATAAAATAGGCTTTGATGAAGTCTGTCTACTGTTTGTTTAACTCTAGTTTGAAAACAGATTGTTTCTGTCCTGTCCCTGATAGGGTTCCATGTTCACTACTCAGTTGGATATACTGGTAGACAGTGAGGTAGATAACTATTATCTTGCCAGGGAAGTCATGAAGGCAATCCTCTGAAAGTTAAATCCAGGCATGTGAATGACAAAGATGGTTGGAAACAGCCAGAGAGAATTTACCAAAGCTATATCATACCTGACAACACTGATTGCTTTCTGTGAGGAAATGACAGGCTCAGCAGATGAGGGAAGGCATGTTTCTTACCCTGACTAGAGCCAGGCCCTTGACACTCTTCCAAAGCAGCCCAGTTTAAAATACTGGAAAAATGTGAACTGAATGGGTAGAGTAGAACATGGGCCAGAAACATTGCCAGGATCGTTGTGTTCAAACTTATTCAGCATTTGTGTATGTGATTTTTTTTTTTTTCAAATCTTTTGTAGAATTATAGAATAGGTTGGGTTGGAAGGGACCTTAAAGGTATCCAGTTCCAGCCCCTCTGCCATAGGCAGGGACACCTTCCACTAGACCAGGTTACTCACACCCCCATCCAGCCTGGCTTTGGATACTGTTTGCTGTGTTGGCGGTCAGTTTCAAATCCTTGAGTCCCTGTTGGGACAGTTCTTTTATAATCTGCCCATCAGTGACCTGACTGGTAAATTACACAGCAGGAAATCACCAGAAGTTGATATTTTAAAAAGCAAGTTGCTAAGTTCTTCTTTGTTTCTTTATATTTCCTTTCAGGATTCAGATGGAGTCCAGCAGAAGGAGTCAGCTGTTTCACCAGCACATGCATGTGTTCGTCCTTCAAGAGTGGTATCATCCACCTCCGAAGAGGAGGAAGCATTTACAGAGAAATTTCTAAAAATTAATTGCAAGTACATCACTAATGGCAAGGTACTGAAACATTCAGGTTTTACTGTTACTGTATAGGATGTAATAATGTAAAGCATGTTTAAAGTAGAAACATAGAATGGATTTTAGTCAGGGATGAGTAGATGAATCAACTCACATGTATATGTATGTATAAATATGCTATTTTTTTTTAACTCACTGTTTCCTTTGGGTTCTCCAGGCCTCTTGTTCAGGACATGATTGATGCAGGCAGTTAGTTGATGGGAGATATCCCTGATGCTGTGCTGTTACATAATTCTTGTATGTTGAGGGCATGAGGTCTGTTTGTTCCTTATACTAGTATCTGTCATAGGTAATTTTCTTACAGTGGGCAATATCATGCCTTCAACTGTACTAGAAAATACACAGTTGTGTAGCTTTGCTTCCTTTTTTTTTTTTTTTTTTTTTTTTTTTTTTTTAAGCAGAACAAGGAGAGCAGAATAAACCTGTGATTCTGCAAACAAATTCTGTATTGTTCACCATTTGCTTTGGTGTGGTATGGTAGAAACCTTGATTTTGTTTTTTTCCTTTGAAGCTGTTACAGTTCTTTCTTTTTTTAGCATCATTACACCAAATTTCTCCAAGTTAGTGACACTTAAATACCCTCTGTTTAGCTCATAAGTGCCCAAGTCTTGCACAGACTTCTAGGGACTGAGGTAAAGTGTTTTGCCATTATCTCAGAGCACTTTATCAAAAATCAAAATGTGTTGCTCCCCTACCTCACAGAAAAATTACTATCAGACACTTTGTCTATGAAAAATGCCTTCACTCAATGAATGCAATAAAATTCAAAGTACTTGTAATACTTCATCCTTTACCTGAAGTTCAGGTGTGTATATAGAAATACTGCTTCTTCTGTGCTGTTCAGCATAGGTTTGCAGATAAGGTATACTAATTATAAACAGATTAATAAGAATCTCCTAAAACTGTGATTTTTGGTTTTTTGGCTGATGGGGAAAGGATTGCAAATCTATGTGTGTCTAGGCTTGAAGCCTTTTGACAGTATATGTGTATTGACAAATGCTACTTGTTAGGAGCTGGTGAGGCAAGTACTGGAACAGCTTTGTTTTTTACTTTGTTCTGCTTTTCAGGTAATTTTTTTCACTTGTTGCATTCTGTCCATGGGTGACTTTTAGGTTGATCCTAGGCACATCCTTACTTATCAGTTTTAAGTGCTGTTATGCAGAGGAATTGAGACCTGTGAGTCTTTGTTAGAAATTTGATGTACTGGAAAAATCTGGGGTTAAAATTTACAACATATTATTTATGTGCTGTAATTTCTCCTCAGAATATTACAGGGAGTATTAATGGTCTTTGGCTTTCAGCATTACAGCCTATTTTGTAAGAGCTTCAGGGAGAATTCTGTTTCTAAATAGTTGTATAATCCATTGCAGTGTTTATCCATACTTGGGTAGGTGGGTGGGAGAAAAATGAATACCGGCTTGCTCAGATTTGAGTGCCAGATCTTGTAATTCTAGCATGTGATTTAGACTTTGTGTCAGGTATGGCAAGAATGTCCGCTTGAATGTTGTCTTGCCCCTCTCCTTGATACATTTCCTCATGATGCAGGATGATAAACTTGCAAAAGTTTGCTGGAAAAAGCTTAAAAGATTTATCCTCTGCTTCCTACTCTGAAAGTGATTTTTGAAGTTCATAGTTAGCCATTCTTTAGGGCTTCAGCCATGAAGTCTGTCATCACTGTGACTGCTGTTTGTAAACTAAATCTAGTAAAAGCCTATTTTTTCAGTCTGTCTATGCAAAAGGACTTTCATTAGATTAAGATTCTCATTTCTCACTTTTTAAGACTGTTTATTCTGTATATGGTTGGAGTTGCATTTAGTCACACTAGTGACTTTCTGGACAGGCACAGAGGAGTTCTCTGAGGAGTAGTGTTTGGAACCTGGAATGCTGGTTCATTGCACTTGCTCCATATTAGCTGGTTATGGCTACTGATAGAAGCAGGGTGTTGAGCTAAGAGGCAGGGTCACATGAATATTCTGTACAGACAATAAATCAGTGTCACCAGTGTGCTGCAGTCACACCTTGACTTGCTAGGTATGCCCTGTCTTACAGCTGCACTGTTGCCTTCCGCTGTAGAAAAGTGTGCTGCTCTGGGGTTTTTTCATTCTCTGCACTGTTCTGTGAGCCAAAAGAAAGGTACTTTCGAAAGCCTGCTTGATTGTAACTGAAACAAGTAAGGGAAGTTTGGAATTCTTTATTATTTTTGCTAATTTACTTAGTTGTTTTGAAATGTAGTAGGTAAAGGAAAATTACTGATACTGAGGCTTGAAAAAACCCAAAGCACTGACCTGGAAATGAAAGCACAGAAAACACACATTTATCATTCATTAAGTGAAAAGGAGGACATTGAGGTTCAAAACTTCTACAAGAAACAAGACATAAAATAAATGTTACTTTCATGATAAAAGCTTCATAAATCATAAATTAGTTTTTTATTCAACCTTGTGTGTTCAAAAATGTACAGGAATTATTTAGAGAGCTTATCTTTGAAAACTTCTTGTTAGGAGTCCTTTCAAAATTTTTTAGAACTGTTTTACTGAACTGCTTAATCTTAATATGTGAGCTCACCAATGTGATAGTTTGGCGCTAAACCTCCCTTTATAATGATTGTTCAGATTTCCATCTCAGGTATTGCATGGGAGTTAGAGCTTCCATTTCCTGAGGTGTAAGGAATTTTAATGGTAAGAAGACAAAACTGATTCAGAACTGAATATCTGCATGTGCAGTTTAGTCTCCTTTCAATATGTATGTTTTTATGTATCTGGATTAATATTTTCTGGACTAGCTTTAAGAATCAAGAGATCTATTTTTTTAATAACCTAGAATTTCCACATTGTTTTTAGTAATAGAGTGGCTTAGCATTTCTCTTTGAGGATCTTAAATCTGAACTTCGCCTGAACAGAATTTTACTTCATGCTTTAAAATCTATTGCATACAGGAAAGTTGACTCCTGCAAGTGCTGTTTTGGGGAGTTTTGTTCCACAACCAAAACTTCCTGTATCAGTATCATGTTGAACTACTTAGTAGCAACATGCTGAGTATAATTTGTATTTCATTTTCATAGACAGTCTTTTTAGTATTTTTTCTTTCAACAACTACTTAGTAATTACAGTCCAAGAGAAACAAGTCATTGGTTATTTTGTGGAGGATGCCCTAAAAAGCTGTTTCCCAAGGTTCTGTAGCAACAATTAAGCTGTTTATAGACGTTCGTTTAGGAGATTATAGCAAACATCAGGATAATGGAGTCATGTAGCACTTGGTAGTGTGCATGCCATTGTCCAGTGTTTTTACTTGAGCTTGTGCTCTGATTTGCAGATCAGTAACAACATTGTGTTGTTAGAGACAACATAATTCAAATAATATTCAATTGAAATTCAATTCAAATAATATTAAAATTCAGTTCAAATAATACTCAATGAAAAATTCAACATAATTCAAATAATTCTTATGGCTATTTTGAAAAAATGAATTTGTGAAAAAATAAAGAGTTGTTTCTTAGATGTTAAGTGAGTATTTGATTTATTTTAAAGGGATCTGGGTTGAAGACCCAACTTAATAGCCCACAAAGGAGAAGCTGGGTTCATCTTTTCTTAATATTGGTAGGAAAGGGCTTTGTTTTCATAAATAAGCCCCCATGATATTCTTCACTTTGAAGACTATATTAACGCTGAAAATATTTTCAGTAGCTCAACCAGGTCAGAGAAGGAGCTTGGGAACTTTCTCCCTGCTCCAAAAGCAAGGAACCAAAGAGATTATATATGGGGAGCAGACTAGGCACTCAGTCATCTTTGGAAGTAACTTACTAAGAGCAGCATTACAGAATCATTTAGGTTAGAAAACACCTCTAGGGTGAAGTCAATTCTTTTCCCTGATCACTATGTTGTCACTTAGACCATGGCACTAAGTGCCACATCCAGTGGCACTTGAACCGCCCAGGATGGTGACTCCACCACCTCAATGGGCAGCCCATTCCAATGCCCTTGGGCAGCCCATTCCAATGCTTGGTAATCCTTTTTGTGAAGAAATTCCTCTTGATGGCCAACCTAAACCTCCTCTGGCACACCTTGCCTGAGCTTCCTCTTCTCCAGGCTGAACAAGCCCAGCTCCCTCTGCTGCTGCTCACAGGACTTAAATCTCTAGACCATTCACCAGCTCAACTGGCCTTTTGTGAACTTGCTCCAGCACCTCGATGTGCTTCCTGAATTTAGGGTCCAGAACTGAACACAGTATTTGACATGTGGTCTCACCAGTGCTGAGAACAGAGTGACAATCACTGCCCTGGTTCTGCCAGCCACACTATTGATACAGAGATACTCCAGGGTTTTTTCTGGTGTCACCATTATTACCCATTCTGGGTATTTTATAACATGACTCTGAGATCTGCTGCCATAGTGCATAAATGTGTATGAGTAACCAGAAAAGTTGTTTTAGAACCTTAAGTCCATGATACTAAAATGCTCGGGAGTTCATAATTGTGTATTCTGATACAGTAGTTCTGGAGTATATGTATTTTAGGAGTGCTGACATAGAAATCTGTCTGATCCTTCATTTCCAGCCAGGAAGTGAAATTTCAGGTGTCTTCTTTAAAGAAGAGATGCAAATTTTCTTGACTTATGCAAAGCTGTGGTGTTAGCTCTCAAATGCTGGAGTTGCTGTAGTTTCCATTTCTCAGGAAATACTGAATATAATGCAATGAGCAGCTCTTAAGCAGTTGGCTAAAGGCTTGTGTGCTCCCACTTGTATGTTTTATTCTGATGTTCTTTTTTCCTCCCAGAATCAATGGCACTTGGTCTCTATCCATACCAGAAACAACATCTATTGAGTAATAGGTTTTAAGGAAGCTTTTACTCCTGCAAACAAGGTAGTAATGACAGAAGGTATTTTTCCTGTAGGAGTCATAGAAATTGTAAGAGCAAGTGTCAGAAACATTGGCATGTCTGAAAAAGAGTAATTCAAATCTGCAGCCAAACAAATGTGTCTTCATCTGGCTCTTATGTGTGAGCATTGCTTAGCTACCTGGGTTAACATTCAGTGATCCTTGGAGGTAATAATGAAAAGTGACTAAAATACTAATGCTAATTAGTGCATTATTAGGAACTTAATTTTTATTAATTTGGAGCAGCAGTTCTTCTCTAGAAGAGTATACTGAAGTGTTCATCTAGTTACTGTGGACCATGTCTAGTAACTGTGAACCAGAGGTGTTGCATTATGTTTTTAGATAGTTAAGAATGAAATAGGTCATTTCTTGTTAAGGTGCTATAAATCCATTGTTTTCAAGATACTTCTGTAATCTTTCACTTCCTTATAGTAATTGCAAGTGAAGTGTTTGATCAGCCACTTAGTCAAATCCAGATAAAAATCTGCTAGGTCTGAGTGCTTAATTCTCAATTTCTATCATTGTAGTAAATTTTACATGGAAATACACTTTCCAATTAATTTTCATTTTGAATGCCTGCCTACCTATTGGTGTTGAGGGTTTCTTCTAAGGTGAAGATAAGCTTTCATTATTTCTAGCTGTGTCTTTGAGGCTGCAGAGGTAAACTTTAATCCTTAATTTCACATGTGCTAAGGCCATGTCAATGTACCAGTTTGGGATTCTTTGCCGTTAGATGGGTCATTGTCAGTCTTATGTAGGAAGCTTCTGTTTACAACAGAAGGTGTCTTAAACTTGTTTTTCTTATATAGTGAGTAGCCCTGCACATGCACACATTTTTGTCCTTGATATCATGGTGTTTGCTTAGGGTACTCACAAGCCTGGCTTGTGGGTTTGGGAGGGGTAAGTTGGCGTTTTGGGAACTGCTAAAACTGAGTCTGAAGCAAGACAACTGAAATGAGTGGTTGATGTGTAACTCATTCTTCATACTTGTTATTCTTATGATGTGCCTCTCTAATATTCAGATAAGCAGTGTCAAACATATGATGTTTTTTTTCTTTAATCGATTTTTGACCTGTGCTATCAGCTGAAGCAGTCTGATCTGTGCTCTTGAAAGCAAGTTATAAAGCATTGGAGCTTGTTGACACAAATGATATCTTTGAGACAGCATACCCCTTGACAGAAAAATATAATCTCTTTATTGCCTCAAAAACTTTAGCACTTCCTGTGTGCTTAATTTATCAAGGAAGGTTCATGAGACAGCGGACAAATGAAGACAATATTATTCTGGAAATGAAGAGCTCTTTAATGAACTCAATTACTGGTTGTTTTTTTTTTTCTGCTGAGAAATACAGAATTGTGGAAGTTGGTGTTGAACATTTAAATCCTTCAGACAGAGCAGTCATACAGCCTTATCATTTTCTCTTCAGCCTGGCAGTTTAAAATATCCACATGCAGTATATGGGCAGTGAAAGAATAGTATAGGATATTTTGTTTGGAAGGGACTTCAAATGATCATCTAATCCATCTGCCATCAAAACTATGACAACTTCTGGGTCAGATCTAGAGAGTATTAATAAAATTCCATTTTTATGACCATTAATGAAAGAGCTCAGATGTAGAAAAGCTGTTGCTTTTTTGTTGTAATTATGTACTGAATTTACAGAAATTCTTAGTTTAAAGAGAAGCAGTCATTCTTCTGAGTAGACTCATTGACTTCTGCAATCTTGTTAAATTTGTTTTCTAGACTACAATATGTATTACAAAATGTAGACTTCTCTTGACAGTTGTCCTCTTGGAGGACAACCTTGAAAGTCTATTTCCACAATACAGTGCTGGGAAAGAAATGGCCATAATAGCCTTGTTTCAGTACTTTAAACACCTTGGAATTATGTAGATGTCTTCTGCTGACTTGCAAGTCTTCAGCACATGTGTTGCACTCTAAAAGATGTATATGAAATCTGATTAAGCACTTAACTAAAAGACTCAAGCACAGATGCTTGGGCTGCTTTTGAGACATGTCTTCATTTTTCCATACTAGAAATAGCATTGGTCATTGTTGAGATTTTAATAACACTTTTGTTTTGGTTGGGGTTTTTTTATAACTTGCACTTTTCTTTTTACTACTTAGTATCTTTGTTTTCCTACTGTGAAGGTCATCAACCATCACCTGGGAACAAAATTTCTTGAGTTCAGAAGAGCTGTATCTGTGTTTGTGCTGTGCTAATGTCTTCTCAAAACAAAATTGAAAACAGTCTCCTCCAATACACACCCTTCATAATAGTTGTGAATGTTTTATCAGTAAGATAAATACTTATTTCCTTTAACAGCATGTGAACTGAGTTCTTGCATGGAAGTTTGGAATGTCTGAAGAGATTTGTAAAGTCTTTAGAAGTCAAGATCGGTAACTGAAGTATTCCTTTCACTCTACTTAAAGCTACGTTTTTTCCAGTTCATGGTTTTAGCTTGAACTTTACTGTTCCAAAAGTTGAACGAATTTCTGTAGGAGGCAATTGCTGTTTGCATGTGTTTCTAATTTATTTTGTTCAAACAGAGTTGAACATATTGTAAATTAACTTTGTTTTTATACTTGTGTTGTATAAGAACCCTACAATTCATAGTATGAATATAAACCTCAAAGTTTTTCATAGTTAAAATTTAAACTCTACTTGCATTCATGTCCTGCAGTAGTATCATTGTGATTAAAACTATCCAGAGTTTCATCTTTGATAATCTTGAGTCTTTTTTATTCTAGTTTCATTCTGTAAATGTTTGTCCAGTCAGTCATGTGTCCGTTAAGTTAGAAGGACTTGTATCAGCCTCTCTGTTACTTCTGTGTAAAATAAATTAAGGTAAATTATAGGTTTTTAAGGTCTCTCTAAATAAATACTAGAAAGTGAGAGAGAAGAGTTAAGAGTCAAGTTTTAGACAAAAATTGCTTTCAAACTTACCGGTTCAGCGCTGTGATTATTTGGGAAGGATGTCTCCTTATCTCAGAGGAGCTGTTTAGTGTATTCTTCAGTGTGTAAGGTTTTTCTTACTTTACTAAAACCAGTTATTGATTAGTTGTGAGGAATAAAACTGTTTTCTTTTGGGAAAGCAAGTGGTATTAATTTGCTTCCCCAGAAAAAGTTAGTTTCTTGTGTTCAGCAGTGACTCAGTAACATAACAGGTTGCTTAAATATAAATAAAAAATGGCTTTACTAAAAAAAAAAAAAAAAAATAGAAAACACTTTTTTCCTACTGAAAAATGAAGAATAAGCTGGAATTTGAAGGAGAAAAATTACCACTTCTTTTCCTTCTCATTTTAGGGTACGGTCAATGGTGTGCTGCTAGTGACGCCAAATAATATAATGTTTGATCCTCATAAAATGGATCCTCTGGTCCAAGAGAATGGCTGTGAAGAATATGGCATCATGTGTCCAATGGAAGAAGTGATGTCAGCTGCTCTGTATAAGGAAATTGTGGACAGCAAAATTAAGGAGTCATTAAGCATGTAAGATAGAACAGTATTTGTAAGGCTTTGAGTAAATCTGAACTGTAGCCACATTGTTGACCATACAAAACCAGCAAACCAGCATTTTCCTTCTTTTTCTTGTTAGGAAAGGATGTCAAAGATTGGCTTGGAAAGATCCTACAGAAAGTTTGCTTTACCTTCAGTTCTCACATCCTATATATGATATAGGATAAATCTTCTATATACATGGATTCTAATTTCCTCCAGTAGTCTCTCATAAAGATCTGCAGTACCATCATTTCCTCTGCCCCTTCCCCACTATGGAAACAGTAGTAGATGTAGTTTGGTTCTTCAGTAATTTAAAAACTGGTGTTCACAATAAGGAAGTGCAGCTTTTTAGGTACAAATTTTTATTGTTTAGCATTTTTCACTTGCTTCTCAATCTCGTTGCTCTGACAAGTGATTTAAAGTCATTTTCTAAGATTTGTATATATTATCATGGGCCTAGGAGCATATTTTTCTCCCTTTATGGCTAGGGGAGGGACTGCATATCCACCTTAGGTGTAGTCTTCTTTTGGAGTAAACAGTGAATTTGGATTGGTGAGGTCTAAGAACTGCTGTTTAGTGCAGCAGGCATTTAAAGTCAAATTTAAAGAGCATTATGAGAAATCTTTGTTCCATTCTCTGTTTTTTTATGGTGAGCTTTTATATTATCATCAGAAAAAGATAAGTTCTGTCTTGAAATTCAAAAAGGATTAAAAAAAAATCATGTCACCTTTACCTATCACAGCCCATAAAGCACAAATATTTGCAGACTCAATTATCTAGCTGTAGGGAAGTGGGCTTCTTTAACCAGGAGAGTGTAAAGCTGTTTGCTTGATAAGTAATGCTGTACCCTGCTTAAAATAGTTGCATTTTTTTAAGACGCTCAGTAATTCTTAAGAATATCCTCTTAACAGTTCATATAGGTAGTATTCTAAGCACATCTTTCTTGATAATCTTAACTATAGGGACACACAGAAGTAGTAACTTGCCTCATCCCATTTATGAGCTCAGTTTTGGCATAAACCTGGGAATGAACGGATATTTTGGCATGGTCTTGTTTGCTGCCCAATGTCATGTGTCTGTTGAAAGGGCAACTGAAATACATGTTGCTACAGTAGTACTTTTAGGGCTTTTGATGTAGAATAATGATGCCTTCAGCATAATTTTTTTCTGCAAGTTTATTTGCCAGACTGAGTTTTAAAAAGTAGCTCACAGTTCCTGTTTCAATTGATAGTGGAAAGAATTAGATAACTCTATGCTTGAGTCATGTTATTGTGGTTGCAAAACAAGTATTTTTCTAAAATGCTTAGTTTGTTAATAAGTTAATGGTGCTCCCATAGCACATGCATTTTCTCTTTTGTTTGTAATATGAGTGCATGTGGAATGAAAATGTATCTGCTAATAACAAGTCATACTCTGCATTCAGAGGCCTGTATTCCCAGTTTGATTTATCTTTCTTGTCAGCTATATGAACTACTGGATGGAACACTAGCTGCTAGCATTTTCTTCAGTCCCTGCACTTTTGTGTCTTAGCTAAATATGAGGCATATTTGTAAATTTGGGGGAAAACAAAAATCTTTTAAGTCTAAACAGAAGTCCTAAAGAAAGCTTCAGCTAGATTTGACAAGACCCATGTGTCTTGAGGTGTTTGACACTTAAGTCATATTTTCTCATTGTTTTTTTTTTTCCTTCATATTCCGCTGTTATAGTAAACCTTCTTTTGCTCTCCCTATTTTTCCAGCTGTCAAACCTGCTTAAACTTGGGAAAGCAATCTTTATTTTCAGTATTCTTGTTGTTGATATGGAAAATGGCCATAAGCCCAATGGATGCTTTGGTTCTTAAAACTAAAATTTCATGTTGTATGGTTTCTGCATATAAGCCATAATCTATACTGAAGCTGGACAAAAACATCTGACTGCATACAGATGTTTTACAGATTTCATGAACCTTACATTGTGCACCTATAATGAGCATAATCGTGCAGATTTAAAGAAATGGCCTAGTCTAATAGGTAATGGGTTATTAAGCTGAACCCACATGCTTTGTAAGCAAAATCAATCAATCAGCTAAAGCTTACTACAAGCTTCATGTTAATACTTGGATAAGAGGGTACATGTGCTTTGCAAACATCCTGAATTTTAGCAGCATCTCAGTAATACGTTGTAACTAAACATGAAGTTTTGTGAGACTGTGGAGTGAATTTATTGTCCTTCAAAACAGAGATTAATGTACAAGCTTCTTAAAAGCATTTAGTACTAGGTAATGGAAGAGTTAGTATGCTTCTGATAGCAAAGTTGACCTTGAGAACTCTAGCCAAGAGTAAGTTTAAATATGAGAATTTTTTTGGGATGGCTGTGTACTGCCCAGGTTTTTTGACAACAGGGAAAAGCTTGAGTTCTGTAGGTCTACTTGAATGTGTTCATAGTACCTTTCTAGTCTTCCTCTTCTAAAAGTTGTAGAATTTCTAGTTAGTTTATTTTGAAAGGCAGGTTTAATCAAGATTATTTCCTCTGGATAAAATAAAGTTTTATGCTTGCTTTTTTTTTTTTTTTTTTTTTTTTTTTTTTTTTTTTTAATTACACTATTTATCAGCATCTTCAGTTGTATCAAGTCGTTTGGGATTTATTTTGCCAAACAATGGTATCCTCAAAGTTAGGTACCTGCTGAAGACACTAAACACTGTTTCAGGCATTTTCTATGGGCAGAATAGTGAGATATACTTTGACAGTTCCTACTGTTCTGCATTTACTGGCTTTGATATCTGAGGTTAGACCAGATGATTTCTGCTATTCACATCTTACCTGTAAGCTAGGTGTCAGCTTCCTTGTAGGGTGGGACCTGTCTGTAAAATTGTACTGACTGCTTGGGGAGACAAAACCTAAAAAACTGGATGATTTTTACCTTTAGAGATTATGATTGTGTGTAGCTTTTTGTTGGTTTTACTTTGGTTTTTATTTTATTTTTACACTTTAAGTGCCTCTCATAATCTTGTTAGTTTCATAGGAGAGTTTCTTGTGAAAGTTATGTCGTGAACTTGGAAGTCTCACTGTGTTGTGCTGGCAAAAGGTCAGCTACGATTACCATTATGGTATCACATTTTATGCTTGTTTATTACTAATGCTGTGTTAAATTGTTGTTTAGGATATTTGGATTTTTTTAAGAGCTTGAACAAAACAGTGAAGAAAAGAGCTTGATACTTTAGAGGTACCTGTTATAACAATATTCTTATTTTGCTCAACAGAGATGTAGAACAGCTGTCAGTAAGGGAACTTGGCCATTCCAAGAAAGCTGCAAAGTGCAATACAGATGACACGGATTCCAGGGTTCGGGACACGGGCAACGACAGTGCTAGTACTGCCCCAAGAAGTACAGAGGAGTCTCTTTCAGAAGATGTATTCACAGAATCAGAACTCTCTCCAATTCGTGAGGAGCTTGTTTCCTCAGATGAGCTTCGTCAAGATAAATCTTCTGGAGCATCATCGGAATCTGTGCAAACAATAAACCAGACTAGTGCTGAATGTTTAACAGTCATTTCAGACTCCAACGAAGCTGCCAGTGACTTGAAGCCCAGTGCCGAAATGGTTGTAGGTGTTAAACAGTTTGGTACCCACTTAAGTTCAGAAAGTGCTAAAAAGTCTGTAAAGGGGGGACAAGAACCTGGTGCAAACACTGCAGATGTCCTCCAGCAGTCTTTGCAAAGATCACAGGGTGGTGAGGAGCACAGCAAGGAGACAGAAGTGGGCAAGGATCAGGATTCCTCACTAGGAAAAAAAGCAGATAATGAGATGGAAGAGGAATGTCCGGGTTGTGAAGATACCACAGACTCTCAAAAGAAAGAGACATCTAGCAAGGGAAAAGTAGTGGGAGAGAAAAATCAAGATTCAGAAGCAGAAGTTGAAGAGCTCCGCAAGCTCTGGAAGACCCACACTATGCAACAAACAAAACAGCAAAGAGAAAACATGCACCAGGATTCACAAAAAGAAATCAGTCAGAAAGCTGTATCTGCAGGAGATGGGCGGTTAGAAGGTGAGTCAGTGAGTATTTATGGGTATTATCTCAGATTTAAAAGGTATCACCCTCCACTTTAATGGAAATTTTGGAATTTTTTCATTCTGTACACCATATTTCTCCATGTGCTGATTATATTTCTCATTGGCTTGAAGATACTCCAAAGTTAAACTTTATGTAAACTTTTGGAGAAAATATTTGATGCTTTCAGAATGCTGTTTCACTTACATCTTGTCTTACTTTGATGCTGACTAGAGCAAGGTTAAGCATCCAAAAAGCTTGATTCAGGAATAATAAGGGCTAGATATAAGGAAGGTACTGCTGTGGATACAGTAAACAGCTAGGTTTTATTTCTTGAGTGCCTTGATTCTTCTGCAAAGATCAGAGTCCTGGGATTTTTAGTTGGAAGTTACCCTTAAAGTCTGATCATACAGAAATATGCTGTGCCTTTAAACAACTTAAATATGCTCCTGGATGAATTTGAATTTGCTTTCTAAAAAATTCACAAGTTACTTTCTAGTATCTTCCCATTTTACTAATGGAGATAACTATTTGTTTTAATTGTGCAATATTTGGGGGACTAGAAAAGACTCTATGTGACAGACATTAAAAATGGAGTGCATTTGAAGGTTAAATTCATTGTTAATTATTAAAGTTTAAATTATATTGAATAGAAGTATGTTCTTTGGTTAACAGAAGTTTGGTTAACAGAAGTTTGTCTACTCTTCAAAATCTTATATAATGGTTTTTGCTTGTTGGGTTTTTTTGGGGGGTTTTTTTGGTTGGTTGGGTTTTTTCTTCTTTTAAGGAAGTAACTGAATTTTGAAATTTGAAGCAGATGAATACTTGCATCATTCTGTGATAAATTTGGCTTTTATGCCTTAAATATTAGAAGTATTTGTAATATACTTACTAGTACTACTTTCTAATACCTCTGGCAGATGTCAGCTAGCAGTAGCTGCTGGTTGTAACTTTAAAAAAATTCAGATACTAAAGTGTTCTTTGGCACAATTGCTGCTTTTCTTACAAGTGAATATTTGTAACTCAGTTACATTAAATGCTTTAGTTTTGGTTTTTTGTAAGATTGTATTATCAACCTGACTGACTGCAGGTTGTTATGTGATCTGTATATTTTCAAGTAAATATATATGTAATCAAAAAAATGTCTGCATGCAGTCCTACAGAAGAGTGCTGGCTAGAAACCTTATGTACACATAGTGCTGCTGCCTCACTCAAAGTTGTTGGGGTAAAGTACAAAGGAAAAAAACCACAAAAAGTACAAGATGCCTTTTGGAGATTTGTACCATTTCAATGCAGTGCAGCGTCAGTAGGAATTATTACATCTCTTATTCTTGCAAGTTGTATTAGCAGAATGCAAATAAATGAATAAATTATGAAGTAATATTTCTCAACCTAGCTAGATTTGGTGAAGCTTCTACAGTAATGATTAAACAGAACCAAGGTAACAGCATAGATCTGCTTTATAACTCTTGAGAAACATTCAGTTTGTTCTGAACGTTGAGGTGATGCAATGCATGTAGATACTTATGAGTAGACACATCAAGTTTACAATAACTAAAAAGCTCTCACTTGTATCTACTTTTATTTTTTTATTGCCCAAGCTTCTGTTTTTTACAGACATATTTGTTATCCACTGGACTGAAATAAAGCTAGATGTGGTTGATACTTTGGAGAAATTGTAACAATCTGTAATTTTGTGCGTGTATAAACAATTTAAAATATCATTAATAATATGTCAAAATATTTGCTGCTTAGCTGAATATTGTCAGAGATTGAAAGGAAAGACAGGAATAATGAGACACAGTAGCCATTGCTGAAATATTTTCTCATTAATTCTGTATCAAATATGCAACAAAGATAGGGGAGAACTCAGTAAAAGAAAAAACATCTGAAATAGTAATTTTGAGACTTGTGACAGAGCTAAATTGTTTGGTTTTATTTTATCTGATAGCTGGAACCATAATCCTACTTGTCTGAGTTCAGGGAAGTCCTAATCTGCTGCCTCTGAAGGACCAAAATCACAAATACCAAATCATTTGAAGAGTATTTATCTAATACAGCCACAGAGTTTGCATGCCAGTCCTATGAACCAGGCTTTTTTGTTTATTTTTGTTTCTTTTTAGTGTTGTTTTTTTTTCAATCTGTTTTTTTTCAATTTACCTTTGAGCTTACACATTAATAAAATACTTCCAAATAATGCATGTTATTATGGTTCATTTACTATACTGTATGCTGCACGTATCATTCTGAAATGTTGACTGAAAACGTGACTGAAAATTAGGGGGCACATATTTAAATAGTTACAAGAAAAAAAAACCAGTCTTTTGTGGAACAGTGCTGTTCTAAACTTCATGGTGAAAATCTCATTGAGAAAATGTTTATAGAGCAAGAAGGTGATGTTTTCTGTGCTTAGTGAATCTGTGGTAAAGAAAAGATGTGTCTTAGGAAACTGAAACTTATCTGTATGTACGTGTAATACCAGATCTAGGATAAACCATTTATTGTCATGACTGATCGTAATAGGAAAATGTAATTTTGAGACTTTTCTTGCTTTTAAAAGTCTCTTGTGGCTGAAGGATTTGGCAAATATAGTAAGGAAACAATTTTAAAAAGGCTTCTTCCTTTACCTTGTGCTGACTTGACAATTTGGACTTTGAGGTTAATCATAGAACTCTATTAGTTCAATGAAACATACTACCAGAGAGAAAAAATCCTGTACTGCAACATCCAGTATCACTTCATCCTGAGGTGGTGTTCATACCATTGAGGTGCTTGATAGAGCTAAAAAATTAAAATTCATCTTAATCCTATATTAGCAGGGCAAGAATGTTTTCCCTTGTAAATGATAAGTAACAAACAGCTCTGACTTGTGTGAATCAAGCGTATTTAACACAAATATTTTTAAATGCGTATTTAACACAGTATCTTTTCAATATATGTGGGATAGCTGTTTAATAGTGGGAGGGTGGTGATTCAGTGTTGAGAGTATGCATCAAGAACGCTGTCTGAATACTTGCAAGCTTGGATGAAATGCTGTAATAATGTGATCTGTAGTTAGAAGAAGAAATGAATGTTAGAATTAGTTAGAGTGTGGTATTCTGAAGTTAATTCTGCTGTTGAGATTTTCATAATAAAAAAGGGCTGGTTATTATTACTACTTATCTCACCCCATCTCCCACTACTTACTTACATAAATGTCCTATATCCCTCAATTGTCTAATATAAAATAAATTAATGATTTTGTTAACCTCATAAGTACCTTATAGACAGCTTACTTTGTCTTTATTAATAGGTTCTTCTGTTATGAAAGAAAAAAGACGACATCGATCTCACAAGTTTCTCTGTCTCAGGGTTGGAAAACCCATGAGAAAAACATTTGTTTCTCAAGCAAGTGCAACAATGCAACAGTATGCACAAAGGGACAAAAAACATGAGTACTGGTTTGCTGTCCCACAGGAAAGGTAAGACAGAAGTAAACTGTAAAAATCAGCAATTGCCAGTAGGTGTTTGAGCTTTTTATTTTTTCTGTGCCATTCAAAATTTTGCAGCAACTGTATCTCTCTAAGTAATCACAAAAAAGTGTCAGCATCTGATGATGTTGTTGATTGGCTTGTGTTGTATTTGCCATTGGAATACCTCATTACCTTACTGACATTTTACTGATTTACTTGAATTACTTGTGAGTTTGGCAAGTAGTTTCTTATTATACTATTTAGGCTCTTGTTTCTAGCAAGTAAATAACAAAAAGTCAAGCAGTGTCTGGTGGAGGAAATAAGTTCTGCAGCAAAATTTTTGGTTGTTTCTGTGCTTCCCATTATTTGGAAACTTTCTAAAAATCCTCTCTGAGTTCAGAAAAGCTAGCTGGGGTTCTTTTGTTTTATCTTTGTATATGGAAGGTAAAGCCTTTCCATGAGCCACCTTAAGCATGTCTACTGGAAAAATAACCTGAATTTGTTGACCTAATTCAAAGACATGAGATTGTTCATGCTCACTTACTGGTACAGCCTTGTATTCTGAAATTATCTTTACTGCTAGGAAACTGTGACTTCTTTTCAGCCCGAAAGTGGTTTTTAGGGTTGTTACATCCTTGTCAAAGAGTTGGGGGAAGAGAAAGAAGCAAGTAACTTATCAGTTGTCATCTGGTATAAATACCTACCTACAATGATCAAGTCACTTTTCCATCTTTTCTTTTGAGCTGAATGGCATAGAATGTCGAGTTGGGGCACTGCAGTTGAGGACAGATATGGATGAATTGGAGAGAGTCCAGAGGAAAACAGCAAGACTATTTAATGCCTAGAAAGTGTAACATATAAAGAAAATTAGAAGTAAGTGGGGTCCTTTAATCTAAAGGAGAAAGAGGTTGATTATGGAAATAAAATTATTTTATACTGAAATTGGCTGCAACAAGAAAGGCAGTAGTTTTTTTTTATGTCCACTATGGATGGAAATGTGTGATGGACTGACATTTTACATCAAGTATTATACTTATCCAACAGGTAGAATTGAGTCTCTGGTAGTGCATCACTAACATGCTTTTAAACACAATCCCTGCTACCTCTTAAGTAGTAGAGAGGATGCAAAGTTTTGAGTCAAAGGTCTGTCCCACTAATTCTGCTGCTGTTAATCTTGTCTGGGCCATAAGTACTCTTGTGGTTACAGTTAACTCAAATTTGCTTGTTCTAGTAGTATCATATTTAATTTGAAAACAGATAAATGTTTCATGTACAGCAGTGATGTCTAGATTAGGTGATTAAAATGATTATTGTCTCTTTGGTTCATTTTCTAATGTAGCAAGCACTTACCTTCAGCATAAAGCAGAATTGATCACCTGTTTTCGAAGAAATGTTTCTTATTTTTCAGTCTGTACTGACCTCCTTGGAAATTGTCGTCTGTGAAGGGTCTCTCTCTAACTGAAAGGGGTAGTATACTATCAGTATCAGTTCTTTATTCATTCAATGTGTTTCCTATGCTTTTTGTAAAAGAAGCTATGTCCTCATAGCGGAGTGTTCATTTTCTTAATCTGGTGTTAACCTTGATGTGTGCTAGTCTGCATAGATGAAAATACTTAGTGCCAATCCTGTTGTCTCTGTCACCAAGTGGTACAGAAGAGAGAAAAGTGTTATTTCAGTGTTCTTACTCTCAAAGGAGCCAGTCTGGGAAGGAGAGTCTTATAGTACTTTAACCATCAAGTTGCATGTACTTTTTCTAACTGCTATACTTACACATAACTCACAGTTCTTGAAAAGCTGAAATTGGGACTTAAAAAAACTTTCATACTTGCATGACAACTTAAAATTGATGCCTCATTCAGTCAATAAGGAGTCTGCAGCTTCTCGTTTTGGACTTCTGTGATAGAAGTTACCTAAACTTGCGCTTCCAGAACATTTTATTCTTTCCTACTGCCAGAGAAAGATTTGCCCCCTTATTTTTTTTCTCCCCTTTTATCTTTATTGAGGAACCTCAATCTTAACAATGGTGATGCTGGACAACTGACCCTGTTCAGAGACTGATACTACATACCTGTGTGCAGAAATTTTTTGGGCACTGGTATATGAGCAATATAACTGCACTTTAGAGAAACTTTGCAGTTCTCTATTCTCAAGTGTTCAGTTTTTCAAGGATTATTAAGGAAGGGAGAAGAAAAGGCTAATATTATTCTTAATGCTAATACAATACCCAGATATAGCAAATATCTCTGGAGAAAGACGTAAGGAATATTCAAACTCTTGCAACCAGAGCCATGAAGCTCTAGTTCTGACTCTCTTTTCTATGGTCAAGATACACTAGTGGATGCATTGCATTGCAGGTCCTTTTCCTGAGTGCTCTGTCTGTGCACCTGCAGCAAATACAGAATAGACTGACATCTGTTAGGATTGCATATAATTTCCTCCTGTGAATTTGGGTGATTTTGCTCTTCTAACTGGAGATCAGTGCCATTTGTGGCACATAACTTAAAAGGAGGTAACTTTGAATCTTGGTACTTACTGTAGTTAGAACAGTCTGTAGTTTATGATTTTATGATTCATATATATATATATATATATGTGCGTGCTTTCAGCAGTCTTCCCCCACATCTGTAGTGCTTCCCACAATTTGTATAATTCTGATTATGTCTTAGAAGTGGTCAGCTGTTCTTCAGGCATAGGGAAAACAAACATGCAGACATTTTCTGAATTCTGATTTTGTTTGGTTTTATGTAACTCTTTATAAATGCAATTTATAAAGTCTTTCTGTTTCATTTTGGGAGTTACTTCAATTTTAAGCAGAGGTATCCAATGGGACAGAAGTGGTTGAAAGACCATACTTATATGTGAAATCACAGCTAATCCATTGCCAACTTCTTTCCTGTTTTTTTTTCTCCAAAGTCAGCTTAAAAGAAAAACAACCAAAGAACTAGCTAGGTTTTTTTTTTTCAAATGTCTCTCTAATATCTAGTAAAATATGAAATTGTATTTTTATTTTAACCTTAAGTACTTAATATTATTAGACATCACAAACTTACCATTTTTTTTTCTCTGTCATTACTTGACTTTTCTAGGACAGATCACTTGTATGTCTTCTTTATCCAGTGGAGTCCAGAAATATATGCAGAAGATACTGGGGAGTCTCTTCGGGAACCTGGATTTATAGTGGTAAAAAAGAAGGAAGAGCCTGAAACTAGTGAAGAATCGAGTACTGAAGATGCTGCTAAAGAATGGGAGGTAAGGAAGAACAGTATCAAAGATTTTTTTAATACACTCGTAACAATATATTAAAATAGTATTAAATATTTTCCAAGAGAAAAAAAAGGCACTTTATTAGTCTGATTATCATGATCATGGCTGTTCAATATATGCCATCCTAATGCTTTACTCTAACATCAGATCAGGGCAACATTTCACAGTTCCAAATCATTTTTGTGTGGAGCAAATTGTAACTTAAAACTCCTGGGGAAAGGTATGTGAGTACAGCAAAAAAGTTGGAATTTTGGTGAAGCAGACTTAATTTCCAGTCTCATAAACTGACAGTTTTCTGATACTTATTATTCCTGTATTTAGAGTGTTCCGTGTATATTGTAAGACTAAAAAAGGGATGGGACAGCAAAAGAGAAAAAGAACAGCTATTAATGATATGTCTTTTAAATAATTTAGTGATTAATTTTGCAGTGATTTATTAATGCATTATAATGCTGTTGAGTGTCTTATAGAAATATATTGTAACTGGATCTATTTCTTTTTTTTTTTAATAATGAGCACGTTTCTCTCATGTGAATCTGTGTCCACTGTGTTTCTATGGACACATCTTTACATGTCTACGTGGTTTTGTTGTGTAGTGTACATGCAGTTAAAGCACCTCCAGTCTTGTACATTCAAGTGTTGGTCAAAAGTTTGATGATTCTTGTCATATCTATATATTGTAGAAGTATCCCATCAGCACTGCTTAATTTGAGTCTTGGGACAGCGATTGCAATATCTGACTGTAACATTTCTTATGTTTTTCTTCCCCCTACCCTGCAGTGGAGCATGTTGAAATTACGGAAGTCTACACTGTATTATGTAGAGCGTAAAAGAAATTTTAAAGAACTGCAATAGTCTAACTACAGGTAGCAGTTTTCTGCTTAGCTTCAAAACTTAGAACCTTAGAACTCTGGATTCAGAGTTGGAATGTAGCTAGTTGAAGAATTAGGCCACGGTTGCAAAACATTCCCTGCAACTTAGTGATTTTGTGTGGGATATTTTTGCTTTCAGACATTGAAATCAGTATAATAAAAACATGTCTTTTAACTTTCATATTTTCAGCGTATGTATTGCTTGAGTTTTTAGAAGCAGTGTATTTTGGTGTTAAATCTTGCTCAAAGCCTTTATAAGTATTTGAAGTTTTAAAATTTGGCCTTTTAAAACATGGGTATCAGTGAATAGAGATCTATATTATGGTTTAAAGCACAGTATATCTCTTCTTTAGTGAGCTCTTCAGTAATTTGACACCTTAATATAACTATAGAATAATTTCCACAGAATAGAGTGAAAATGTTTTTTTCATGATGGAATGTGGTAGATTTTAGAAACTATTTCTGAGAGTAGTTGAGGCAATACATTTCTAGCAAGTATTAAAATCTATAAGTTATTTACCACAGAATGAGGCCACACCTTAAGCCTGTGTTTAGGTTTTCTCTGGAAACAGTCATAGGAAACATTTCAAAAATACTGTGATTTCTATGTGTTATGTGAAATTGTCAACCTTGGTTCTCTTAATATTATCAAATAATAATTTTCTGGATTTATATGCTAATGTGATTAGTGAGATGGATAACTTTTATAGAAAAATGTTATGCAAGTACAAGAAATATGCTAATGTGGTCTTCTGTGCATTTTTAATTTGTGTAATGTGACTTCCTATGACTTTTAGCACAAATCTGAAAGCTCTTAAAAACTTTCTAATCAGAAATGTTTGACAGTACTGGATGGTTTGAGCTTTCATTACATAAAATTGCATTTTAGTGGCTTTTAACATGTGTGCTAGAAAATATGAGTAAATATGGGGAATTGTAGCCATTGTCATACTCATTATTTCCACTGAATTTCAGTCATTATTTTCAATCAATGTACTTCCTTCCTTCAATGCAACAAGCTTTTCTTCTGCCAGTTTTTGCTCCAGGTGCAATCTAAAATAGCAGGTGAATAGTATAATTGAAGCCTTTTTCTGGGTATTTGGCTGAAAAATAGGCTGCCTTTTTCAGATCACAAGGATAGGAGAACTCTGGGTGGAAGGGAAGTGGAAATGCATGACAAAGTACTGTTCATCTAGCAAAGGATGAAGGTAGTGGAGTACTTTTATTTTCCAAAATGTGTTCTTCCTGCTGTAATTGTACAGTATCTTAAAACTGGAAGAACAGGGAAGAGGATTAATGGGTAACCTAGGTTTGGTGTTCTGAAACAACTTTTGTTTCTTTGCAAGTTCTGTTAATACATTCACTGGTGCAGCTTTTTATCAATACACTTGGAGAAACCCTATGCCTGTTAAGTGGAAAATAAATTATGGGAAGAAGTAATAAGCAAAGGCAAAGGTCAGTAACATGAACCAAGTAGTAGGTGTTGGTTTATTAAGTTTATCAATGAATAATGAATCAACTGAACTCCTAGTTGAATTTCAGTTTTTGTCCACTTGCTTCTATCTTGATCAAATACTGCATTGTACATAGTGTCAGAAAAAAGTCCAGCAAATCCTTTAACTTTCGCTTTTTATGTGTTGCACCCTTGATAGAAAATTGACTTACTAGAAATAACTATGAATCTACTGCTGTCTAACATTACCATCAGTGAAGGTGACTAATTCACAGATGGAGTTTGGAACAATCTGAGGCACCTTGTAGTTGCTGTTGCTGATGTTGCTGCTCAGTATTGGTCTTCCTGCCTGTGTCATTTGCAAAGCTTTATAAAAAGGATAGTTTTTCACATAATATCAACCCGTACTAAAGATTTGTCTCTGGGATCCACTAGAAATAAATAGGCAATAACTTTATTTAATGTACTGTCTAAGAAAGTGATGCTAAGTTCTCAATTGTGTTATCCCCATCCATTTTTCTCAAATATCTCTTTTATCTTGTACTTCTAGTGAATGGGCTTACACCAAGAAAAAGAGTGTTTAGAGTTGTGTGGGGTTGTTGGGTTTTTTGTTTTGGCTGTGTTTCAGGGTTGTTTTGGTGCTGTTTTTTTGCCATCTTTACTGAGCTATAAGGTAGCTGGTATCATGGTATTCTTTTTCTATGTGGTGTGTCTAAGTTCAAGTGCTAATGGCTTTCTATATCTGTTAGCACAAATTATGATTTCTGTTATGTGTTAATAAACAAACTTGTTCTCCTAAGCATATTCTATATTTGCATCTTAACATGGCAAGACTTTACAGCAAGCTGACTCCTTCTGTCGTGCATTGTCTCAGAAGCAATTACACTTATGGTGTAATCTTGTTTCCTTTTTAAGTTCAAGTTGTGTATATAGTAGGTTCCTATTTAAACCTGAAATCTGTTGAGGAAACACTTAAAGTGCTCTGCATTAAAGTAATTCTTGTTGAAAGCATTGATTCTTCCTTTCCCTTCACTGTCATTTGATCTCATTGCCATTATTCAAGATTTAGTCATACTTAATGGCCATGTAAATATAAATATTAATTCACAAGGTATTTGAAAACAGGAAATTTATTGTCTTAGGGCCCACAGACTGGTCTTAAAGTAGTTGGAAGCTCGTCAGTTTGGTGTTTTTCATTAGCTTTGTTCATTGTGGAGGAAATACAGAAAATTTGATTTTAAACTGTCTAGAAGTTTATTTCCAAAATGAAGATTGAGTTGATAGACACTTAGAAATATTTTTTCCTAGGCATGGTAGGTCATGTTCTGGACTTGCATTTACTAGTAATTACCCTTGGTTTTTCCTGTTGAATGTAGAAAACATGGATACAATGCTTCTGGAAAGCAGTAACTCACTTGTCCAACTGAATTTCAGTTAGAACTTAAGATGTGGTTTGAAAATGCTTACTAGATCAAACCATTAGCTGCAACTGAAGTTCTGTCTCCTTGAAATGGTATTTGACTTGGACGCTCAGCAGTCCAACATTACTGAAGCTGTAACTTCTGGAGTGTCTCAGAATTCTATTTCGGTGTATTTATGGAAATTTGAAGGTCACAAACAGTGATTATCTCCTGGTTAGGTAAGCACCTTTGTGCAGTATCCCAATCTTGAAACCCTTTTTAGATGTTCTGTATTGGATCTGGTCTGGAACCGACAACATTTCTATATTAAAGTGGATATTGCAGTTTCAGAATGCACTGCTATCTTAAGTTTTTGTGTTCTTTGTCATGTTCCTTCTATAAATTTGGTTCCAATCTCTACTGTAAACTTCAGTGCTTGGATGCTGGTGCAACATCTGCTTGTTGTGTCTTGCATTTTAAAATGTGATATGAACATAATGCTGTATGACAAGCTGGGTAATACTGGATCAGCAGAGAGAAGAAGGAAGCCTGAAACTTGTAGGCTTTTTGATTGAAACATTGCACAGGATGTGTAAAGATGAACCATGCTAAAAGTCTTCAGAAGAATATTTTTTCCAATATGTTTCTGGAAAGACTGCCTGTTTATGATAATGAACTACAAGCTAGATGGTTATTTGGCTTTTACATCGTCTGTTGTCAGTGAAGAAATTGGATGTGTCACTATGCACGTGTTGCTGTGCATTACCACAGAATTTCTAATAGGCTTTGCTCTTGTTCTGGAGGATGAGTCTATTCAATTCTAGCGGTCATGTGCTGTAGTGGAGATGTTTCTGTTAATTTGTTGTGGTTGGAGAAAAGGACTCTGGTGTCTATTTACATGATCTAATGCTCTTTGCAGAGATTGGTGGCTTTTATTCTTGCTTTTGCAATTAACTTGAGTGATATTGTACTGTCTCTCAACTTCATGCATTAGGGTATTTCCTGTTTGGCTGTATTTATTGTTGCTACTTAATCTATTTTGAATCTATTTATAACTTGTAAGTGGAAATTGAGAGGTTTTGATGGCTTGGAGCTGTCCTGTAGTTTGGGTCATGAATGTGCAGTTGCAATTGATTGCTATTTCTTGTATCTAATAGAGGGATCTGGGATGGTCCCTGTGCTAAGAGTTAAAGCAGAGCCATTCAGCTAAAAAGCTTGTGCTTTTGAGATTCTTAATGGCTTTCAGCATACCTTTGAAAA